GTCCATACAGGCTGCACTTAGACACCCCAGGGCCGCAAGGCGACCCAGGGGGGAGCCCCCTCACCACGACGAGGTGACAATCAGGGAGGGGAAGTTAACTCGATCTTAACCTAACTTTTATTAAGTTAATTCTTTATTTCTTCAACTTTTAACTTAATTTTATAAGCCATTAACTTTAATTTAATTTAGTTTAAAAAAAACATTAACTTACCCAACCCTGATTTTTGGGTTATTATTTCCGTCAGGTCGAAAAATGTGGTTTTGAGAAAAACGCGTTTAAAGTTTTGATTTGACTTTTTCCACATGTAACAAGTTTTTTAGGCACTTACGATTCTGCAATACCAGGATCATATAATAATCCTTCCTCGTCTTTATATAACTGGTTTTCTATCAATCTCTCCAATCGCCGAGTTGTTCTGGCTTCTCTTGATGATTCGGACGTGATGATTCGCGCTGGTAAGCGCTTAAAATCCCATGCGCCATTACGTATTTGAGCTCATAGCTCTGTTAATATTGCGAATTTAAAAATACCTTTTACAGGGATATTTTACACATATGTAGAAATCAAAATAAATAAATAAAAATTTCGATTTTTTTGAAGCCTGCAAAGGTGAATCCTCCCTTAATAAGCAACGAGCGACTAACGAAACCCTTCGATGGTCACTAAGGATCATTAACCTGACAATATATGTACGGTCAACGTCATCAGTGTTGAATTCCCTATTTCATCTTTAATAACTTTTTAACGTGAGATGAATGCCTATTAAACTTTCCGAAGGTTGCAGGAAATGTATTGGGAAAACAACTACGTTTGCCGCAGGTCTACGTTAAATAATAATTCCATATTGAAAAGAGGAAACAAATGCCAACTGAAAATAGAATGTTAGTGTCACAAGTTCTGTTATGGTAATATGGAGAAGAACATTTTACCTTTCGAAGAATGGTTGACGGAAACGATGATAGATAGTTTCTATGCGCTACTCGAAAGAAATTCTGATTATGCACCTGGACCTGTACGGTTGACAATATTTCCCGATCGGATTGTTCCACTCAATGGGCCATATCTCATATCATTGATGATGTGCAGAATTATGTTTGCAAGGAAACGTATCAGGCAACAAATACTGAAAAATAAAGTAGCGAACGCATTGACTGACGCTATCTGCGTGTACGTTGAGCGTAAGCGTTGCAACATTCTAGCGGTTAGAAGATCTGCCGAGAACGCTTCGAAGAACGAATACAACAAGGTGTTTGGGAATTTTTCACGGCTCTAATGTCGACGTATTCCGAAATCGATGATGTATTAGAACTCGATTTGAAGCACGTAACATCTGGTTTAAATGCCAAATGTATAAACAATAATTACAGTGTAACTACGCTGGAAAAAAGTTGTTTGCTGATGTTATCTATACAGTCGATATTAAAAAGGAAAAAGGTGTCACTCTGCAAATCTTTGATTGATTTCGAATCTTCGAAATGGGAAACGATAAATGACAATTGTAAGGAATGTAAAGGTACCGTTCTGAAAAAGAAAACCGTATTCGAATCGATCTTATCCGTTTTAGTAATACAGCTCAATTTATACACTTTTGTAAACGGTACTTATAAAAAAATTATCGATAGTCGGTAATAAGCGCTATACTTCACGAGGGCTAAGAAATGAATCGTGGTTACTACACGTGTATGTTAGGAACAGGCAAAAAATCGGAATGGTATTACTCTAATGATTCTTTAAATATATTACACGTAAAGATTATAAATAAAAATTTATTCTGTTGCAATCGAAATAAATTTAGTTTATTTAGTATATTTACGATCTAGTTAATTTTGATGTACGTATCATTTATTGAATATAATTGAAACTGTCTTCTCTATTTATATATATTTGAAAAAAAGATATATTATTTATTTATTGTAGTAACACGTACCATTTGTATCGTGAAAAATCTAACTATATGGTTCAGTCTAAACATCAAGTTAAATTCTAACAAATAATTCTACCAAATAAAAAAGTAATCTCCAAGTGGTATTGTTTTCGTAAAATTTAAAATCTCAAGTGATATTATTTTTAAAAATGCAAGTAGAATTATCTTTATGACGACTTATAGAATTATCTATAAGACGTCTGTTAATCAATTTGGCGTAATGTAAATATAGTTCTCGGAAATATTAAATTTAATTACAATTCTAATAATATAGGTAATTATCGAAGCAAACAACGATAGATATAGATATGTTTATTATATCAATTTTTTATAGTCATTTATAAAATTTACATTATGTGTTATAAAAATTATATCTATAAATTATGTGGCAGCTTACTCGCCACATTCAACCCGCCGGGCGCGCTCGTAGCAGTACCGCTACTGAGGCGCCCGGCTGGCTGGCC